TAAGACAATATCATAATCAAAAAACTTTTAACCTAAGATACAGAACACACACACACACACTCATATGATCTCACCATATTTGGTGTGTCATTTGTTTTCTTTCTGTGTGACTACTTGCACTTTAGACAAGAAGAAGTGTTTACGTAAAAAATAATGAAAAGTAAGAAACAAAATAACAGGGTGTCCTTTGTTCTGAAGTATTCTGCATTACTATCATTTATTGTTTTTATTTTTTTTACGTACAAGAGCTATTATTTTCGATAGAAATACAATACATTTGATCATATTATTATGATATTCTGAATTATCTTAATACAAAGAGAATATTTAATATAAAATAAAAGACTATTGAACAAAAAAAAAAAAAAAAACGTTTTATTTTTATCTTTAACTTTCAGATGGCGACTAATCGAAATTCATCTATACAAAAAAGTCGAAAATTAGTCGTTGTTGGTGATGGTATGTCTGGTAAAACATGTCTTTTATTTGCATTTAAAGATGATGAATTTAATACGGATCATATACCAACTGTTTTTGATACATATGTTGCTGAGATTGAAGTCGATGGAAATACTGTAAGTACTAATATAAAATGACATTTTTTTTTTGTTTTTCAAAATATCATTCATTATTTCAAATGAATTAGTTCTAGAAAATAAAATTTTTATTTATAGGTTGATTTAGCTTTATTCGATACGGCTGGTCAGGAAGATTTTGATCGTCTACGTCCACTTTCATATCCTGATACGAACGTTATAATTATGTGTTTTAGTGTTGATAATCCAGTATCTGCAGCAAGTATTACTGAAAAATGGATTCCTGAAGTACGACATTTTTGTGGTACATGTCCAATAATATTGGTAGCTTGTAAAATAGATTTGAGAACAGATTCTCAAGTTGTTGCATCACTGAAAACAAAAGGTCAAAAATTAGTATCAATTGAAGCTGGAAAACAGCTTGCAACACAGATTAAAGCTGATGGTTATATGGAATGTTCAGCAAAAACTCGTGAAGGAATACATGACTTATTTATTCTTGCAGCTCGTTTATCATTAAAAAAACGTCATCATCATAAAAAACATCATAAATGTTTTGTAATTTAATTAATCTATTTTATCTTTGTGTATTCAACATATTGTATTATTGACTTTTTTGAATAATATCGAATTTCAATTTTCAATTTATTTATTCATTTTACATTTTAAATCTACAACAATCATAAATATGAGAATTTATCAGTTATCTGATATATAATCTAATCAAGCAATTTTATATTAGTCTAAAGTATGTCTGATTAAATCTCATAAGAATTTGTGTTTGAAAGTTGACATCAATGGTGAATAAGATTAAAGTGATAGTAAGAAGGCAATAATGTTTCTTTTTTTTCTTCTTGTTATCATAATATAGTTTGTTTTATATATAGGGGTAAAACATAATTGTTCCAAATATTAAGTATTTTATCATTTACTTGAAATATTTTTGAATCTTATAATCAGATTCATCATCTATGAAGAAAACATGATACTACACAATAATTTAAAATAAAAGCTTATCCTCTATCATCCTATCACTTTTAAAATATTTTTCAAAATAAAAATCCTTTTGGTTTTATAAATAGATATGTTTCAATTTTAGTAAATGAAATAGATTTTAATATAGATATGTCGATAGTAATTTTTAAGAATTCAATAATTAAATGAAATTAGTTATAATCAATCTAATACAGAATTCGAACGCCTGCAATATTAATGAGATTGATCAATTATAAATCATTATTGTACTTATATGATTGATCATTTGACTGCTAATAATAATACTGTAGCTGTATTGCAGGATGAAAATGAATTGTAATTACTTAATGTTGATTTTGAAATACATATGTGGAGTAACAGTTGTGTGTGTGATTTTGCTTATCCGTGTTTGGTTCATTTAAACATCTGACGAAACTTAACTCTTACGATTATCTTCTAGAGTTACTTAACCTAAGTTTTAGAATAAAGAGATCAAAATCTTTTGGCTTTTGTACAGCATGATCTAAAAAATATGTTGAAGTATAGGATTAGAAACTTGCATCTCACTTCCTTTCCACAGACACCTTAGCAACACTCTTCTCCATTGTAGTCTGTGAAAGAATCAGCCATGAGACTAAAGTCTTCTATGAAATTAATAGGAAAACAAATTGAATTTAAGATACTTGTCGTTGATTCCCTTTTCCGACTCACTATAACGTATCACAAATAACATCTATTATCACGAACATATCAGTACGTTGTAAGTCACAAATCGAAACATATGTTGCACAATCTTTTGTTTTACAATATATGCAGATCGATCATATTTCACATGTTGATCATCAGGAATTGTGCTAACACCTTTTAGATTTAATAATAATGAAATGAATCGAAAATTGCATCTCAATGACTTCTGGCTGTTTCATTGATAATCAAATCTTCACCAAATCTTTTTATTATTTTGCAACTGTCATTAGAAATATCAGATATTATATTCTTTCGATATCTACTTTACCATAAATATGTATTTGAATTTATTGTTAGCGACATTTACAAGTATTGTATTTTATGAGAATATACATAGAAATACTAACATTCTAAGACTGTTAATACTTTTCAATTTTATTTTTTTTCACGAAATCGATCAATATCAATAAGTTATCTTTTCTATTAAATTTATCTATGTCTTATATTGTATAGGAGTAAGGTTTGAGATACATGATGACTTGACTTTTATTATTTTTTTAACAGATTTTTTAACAAATATTCGTGATTTATCGTAAGATATTTAAAATGTAACGTTCATAACATAGTGTGTTTTATATGAAATGAAAGGTTTATCTAGTAATCACAAAAATAACAAATTTCATTTCAAAAATGAACTATTGTTCTATATCAGAAAAGTCTTGTAATTCCATTTTCTTTTTGTAATTTCATTTTAAAATTTCATATTAATTTTTGATATAATTAGAATGTGGGCGTCGATATGGTTGTAAATGTAGTATGGAATGAATATGGGTACGAGTCTTCTCTTCATTTACACCCACATCCGCTAAAAGCTACGCCATATGCAACAAAACAAAGAAAAGCAATATTAGCTAAAGCAACAAAACAAATTTGACATCATGTTGTTATTATTTAGATAGACATTTCTCTTGTTCTTAATGTTTTACCGTTAAACTTATAACTTATATCTGATGTTTTGTGGGTTTTTTTTTATGAAAAAGAAAGAAAAGTTCAATAAAATAGTGAATTCACATGTAATAAAAAGTCGAAAAATTGGCAACATTTATAAAGAAACATTGATTAGTTCAATGTGGATCAGAGCAGCATCACTTAGTAGTCTTACTAACAGCACTCCATTTTTTTACGTTGTCACTTATTACATACAAGTAATAATTATTTTAAAAGACCACACTACTTCTAATAGGATTAAAGCAGACTGATCAGGACTATGTCGTCCTGCTGGACACTATACCATCTTGCTAAGCACCACGGAGTGCACCAACTTTATAGGATTTCAAGTTTTCAAGGAAGTTAATGAGAAGAAATTCGAGCTCGGATCGGCAGTTCTGCATGACTTTTGACCTGGACCGAAATTCATGTAATCCTTGAATACATCATCATATCTTTGCAATAACACATGTATAATGGGTAGTTCGGAATAAATTAGACTGTTTGTATTTTTAATATTTCACCTCTATGCTTTATTCAATTGAAACATTTTCTTTGTATCAGAAGATAGCGCTTGAAATATTTTTTCATTCTACGCTTAATTTTACTATACGATTACGTCAGATCCAAAAACCTGGACGAAACTATATTCGTTAAATGAGGTATACTATTTTGTGCAGAATTTCAAACGCTATCTTTTGATACAAAAAGACGTCTCAATCAAGCAAATAATAGAAGAGAAACTTTGTAAATATTAAGAGTGCAATTGTTTTTATGACCCACCCATTACATGTGTGATTTACATTCTATTATTTGTTTTTCTCTTAATTCTGATCTTCAATAATTGACTTATTGTTTCATTGTATTTTGAATAACAAAAAAGCCATTTTTTTTCTGTAGTTTTTATACATATAATATGATTAACAATCTCATCTATGATAAATTCTATTTTCGGTACAGTCGAAGGATGTTGACACATCCTATTCAAGAAGATAATACATCCTATGAATACATTTCTATGTATCGTTTGATTTCATGTGAAGTTGATAATCAAATACTTTCTATTTATATCTATGTCATTAAAAAATAAAAAATTTTTATTATTAGTTGATACTACTTATTATTTCACTACTGAATATAATAGAAAATGTTTTCTAATTTTTATCAATTTTTAAACAGGCATAAGATCTTTTATATAAAAGTTTGTCATACTAATGTGTTTATTTTAAATAAAAAAACTGCTAATTGTAAACAATGCAACTCTAGATAACTTCGAATAAAAGATTCGACTGGTATATATCATGGTAAATGATTCGTGAATTTGATTTTTTTTTTCTTCGAAAACAAATGAAAATATAGGGAAAGATCAATACTTTATTTCTTGCAGAAAAAGAATAATGCAATAACATCAAAATGAGTTTGTTTTTTCTGTTGATGCACAACTCATGGTTTTTTTTTTTTACTTGTGCATAAAATCACTGTTTATTCTCTTCCAATTCTTCTTGTAGGAGTGGTAAGGAGTCTCACCATAGACTATAAAAGAAATTAAAATCTAAATAGAAGAAAAAAACATTTTAACATAAAAGAAAAATTTTTTGTAAAAATATCGTCTTTTGAATGACAGTTTCTACATTGGATTCTTAAAAACAGTATCATCATGTTATATATATATATATGCACAATAAATGGTAAGTTTGAATAGTAATAAATATATTAAACATTTACTAAAACGAATAAATCATTGGACATTGATTTACACAATATAAAAATGATAAATTCCTCGAAAAAAAAACAACATGTCTATTGTATTTTTAGATGACAAGTAATAAAAAAATAATTAGAGAAAAAAATCGAAAACTAGTCGTTGTTGGTGATGGAATGACTGGTAAAACATGTCTGTTATATGCATTTGTTTATGATACATTTGATCCAAATCAAGCATCAACTATTTTCGATACTTATGCTACAACTATACAAATAGACGATAAAAAAGTAAGGTCATGTTCTTTGTTTAAATATAACTTCATATGATAAATTTCATTATCAATTAGAAAATTATAATTATATGATTTTCATGAGTTTAATATATATATATTTATGAAATTTTATTTATAGATTACATTGGCTCTTTTTGATACAGCCGGTCAAGAGAATTATGATATTCTTCGTCCACTTTCATATAATGATACAAATATTGTATTGATATGTTTTAGTGTTAATCATCCAATATCAGCTAGAAATATTATCCAAAAATGGAATCCAGAAGTACGACATTATTGTAGATCATGTCCAGTGATATTAGTAGCATGTAAAATAGATTTAAGAACAGATTCTCAAACGATTGCAAATTTAAAACAAACTGATGAAAAACCAATAACAACTGATATTGGTAGACAAATAGCTACACAAATCAAAGCTAATGCTTATATGGAATGTTCAGCTAAAACTCGTGAAGGTGTACAAGAATTATTTATTCTTGCTGCTCGTTTATCACTTGAAAAACATTCTAATCGTAAGAAAAGTTCTACATGTGTATTGTATTGACTAAAGATTTGTAATGTTATATAGTAGTCGAATTCTTGTATTGATTGTCCTTATTTTGAAGAATGCTTGTCTATTTTGTTTTTTTCTTTCTTTATATATGCGTATGTTTTTGTTATTGTTAGTACGAGAAGATCTATTGAAATGAATCAACGACATATGTTTCATTCTCTATTGACTTTTATCATCGAAAAACTTTTTCTAAGTTATGATTCTCAATAATGAATGCAATGTTTTTATTTTTATCTTCTTTTTCTACTTGGATTGAAATTCTGATAAGACTTCTTGTATTGAATAAAATGTTTGTTGATCGTTAGGACATTTCTTTTCAATAGATATACTTCCATTAATGATCATTATCTTCCTATGTGATGATATTTTATGTCCACAAATATTTTGAATAATTATATACGAAATTTTATTATATTCTTATGATTACTCTTACTTGAAAAATAGTATACATAAATCAATCTAGAGTACTTAACTAATTTTAACATAAATAGAACATACATTAAATCATTAAAATAGATAATTTTCTTAAAAGGAATTATTATCTTTTCTTTTTTTCACTAATCAAAAGCACAGAAAAAAGTTAATGTCTTCTTACTTCGAAATGTATAATAATCTTATATTCAAATAAGTTCAGTTCTCTTTTTTTTTTCTGTTGGCATACATGTTATTATTTGAATACTTTATTTATATGAGTCACATTTAATCGAAACAGCAATATATGACAGAAATGAAAAATAAAAAATGTGAGAAAATCTTTCAAATATTACAATATTCATGTATGTTGTTTGTGAATAAAATTCATGACTATCATTTATTTTTGAAAGAAAAATTACATAATAGTAATCTCACCATCGCAGGTATTAAATGTTTGTATTGTCCAACCTTTCCATAGTGATGGATTTCTTTTTTGCACTTTTTATTCACTATAAAATTTGACGTACTTTATCTTAATTTTTCATTAATATACGAAATCAATTCTTAAAATATACATAGTCTGTAATTCTATACAAACAATTATGAGAGAGGTAAATTTTATGAAAAAAATTTCTATATTTAAGATCTTTATATGATGAAAAATAAAAAATGAAAGACTCCAAAAGCATCGAAAATTAGTTGTTGTTGGTAATAGTATAGTTAGTAAAACATACCTTTTATATGCATTTATAGATCACAATTTTGTTTCATCACATCTAACAATTAATTTTAAGACATATACTGTCGAAATTGAACTTGAAGGAAAAACTGTGAATAAAATATTATATATGTTTAAATATCAGTTTAGATATTTTGATTTGTTAATCCAAGAAGGTTTTTATTTTAATTATTTTATAACTGAGTGTGTCTCTATTGAATACTTCCAGTCAAGATAATTTTGCTCGTCTTCGTCCACTTACATATCTTGATACCAATGTGGTATTAATATGTTTCAGTGTGAATATTGATCACAAATGTTATTGAACACTGAATGCCAAAAACATGACATTTTAGTTGTCGATGTCCTATAATACTAATAACTTGTAAAACAGATTGGAGAACAAATCTTGAACTAATTTTTAAACTCAAAACAAAGAAATATATAATCGGTGTCAAGTAAAGTTGGAAAAAAATAGCATCAAAAATTCATGCTGATGTTGATATAGAATGTTCAGCAAAAACTGATGAAGATGTACAGAAATCATTTGTTCATGCTGCTTGTTTATCATTAAGAAAATATGACTATCATGAAAAGTAGGAACTGTTCGGAAATTACATAATCAGTTTGATGACTTAAAAATTTTACAGAAGAAAGAAGATGGATCAAGCCGAGTGATCACATGATTAACCTCATCAGTTAACTTCGATGAGAAGTTAGACATTATTTGAAGGATCAAGTAATATATTTTTCAACGAACTGAGTATGACTTTGACGCCAACATAGAATTTGTTCTCAACAGTCCTTGAATGAGTCGATTTCAATGCCTATCGTGAAGATAAAATCATACGTGCAGGTCTTACTTTTGTCGAATTTCAATACAATTTATCTAGATAATCAGTGTTTCAAGGGTCCATTCATATCATATGCAGAGAGAAAAAATTTTAAAAAAAATAAGATAACCAAGTGAAAGCGGAATGGATAAATTTTGTAGAACTCATAATATGTCTTTCGAAGAAAAATATAATGAGCGAAAGTTTTACGCAACAGGTAATAGACACCTTCCTCAAAGTTTCTTAGTAATGGAAAATGGCGCTAAATGGCATTGACAAAAAGATTTAGACTACTCTAGACCATTCCAAAGTCTTCCTCGAAATTTGAATGGGTATAGAAAGCATTTGCCAATGTTCTAAATAGTGCAGTTTTTGACTTTTGAACGGAAAAAAATTTATATTCAAGATGTCAAGGATGATGGGTAGTCATGCATTGATTTGCTATAATCATCATATCATCAACATAAAAAGCCTGAGTGATCAAGTTATAAGTTTGGGAAATAATCAAAATCAGTGTTTCTGAGTTAATCGAGAAATATATAATAGTGTGTTTAGACCTGATGAAAGATTTGATGGATATGTACAATAGACTTATTTGTCAATTAAATCAATGGTGAAAATACTAAACATGTTAAATTAAGAAAAACAGAATACAAAAATAAATTAAAAAAACAACGAGCAAATAGCAACAAGGACAAATAAAAAATAGAATCCCAGTAAAAAAAACAAAAAGAAAAAATTCCTATTTGAGTGCAGAAATAAATGACAGAGCGTTTTTCTGGTGATCGATTATACTTGGGAAATAACTATAGTCTGCTAGAGACTTTTTCTTAACGGATTTTGTATTAGTATAAGGAGACTAAGGAACACATGCGAGCTCCAGAAGAGCTGTGTCGAGAAAATTCTTTTAAGAGAGACAAATTCTTACAAAGATAAAATAGACGACTATAACGTTTTTACTTCCAAAAACTCATTTAATCGGACAAGAGTTTCCAAAATGAAAAGCTCAATCTCTCAACAATAAATTTCATGAAAAAAAAGTTTTTGTAATGGCTAAAAAATTGATCACGCATGAATTCCAAACAGTCCTTTAGCGACCAATATATTCTCGAATGATTAGAGTGTATGAATGTTATTTTCTTTATTCGTATATTTTTCTTCAATAAAATAAGAAACTGTTAATTCATATATTTAAATTCTTCTATAACATTATAATATGTTGTAATTGAACGACCTCTTTTTACTTTTAATCATTAGTGTACAAAATGGAACCAATGAAAAAGTATTGACTGATATTGCACAAATGCACTGAAATTCTACTTTTATTTTTATGTTTGTCTCCCTTCGTGGTTTCCTATTCACTGAAAAACTATATATACTCGGTCAAAAATTTATTCTCTACTCATTATTTCTTACTTTAGAAAAGAAAAAAAAAATTCTCTAATCAATGCCACCAAAAAGACGTGCTGCAAAAGCAAAGACAGCAGCTACTCCAGCTAAACGTAAAGCATCGCCTGCTAAAAGTGGGTTGTCTATATAGTACTATTGTTATTTTACAATATATATATATATATATATACTATTAACATTTAGCCCCTGCATCTAAACGAGCAAAGAAACAGGTTGTTGAAGAAGAAGAAGAAGAAGAAGAAACAACTGTAGCCGATGAAGTTGAAGAAGAAGAACAACCAAAAACTGAAGTTAGTTTTATCTTTAATTTAAAATTAATATTCCTATTTAATTTTTAGGAAGAAGCTTCATCAAAATCTGATATAATAAAACAATTACGTGCTGCTGATGCAAATAAAACAAAACCAAAAAAACATTCAGCAGATAAAAACATACCTGGTTCGATTAGTTATGAAGTAATTTTGTTTTTTGACATTTTTATTAATTTGTTTTTAAACGATCTATTCATATGTTATTAAGGTTATCGATGATTATGATGCTATGCTTAATCAAACAAATATTGGTGCAAATAATAATAAATATTATGTAGTTCAAGCGTTGAAACAAGGTGGCAATTATTATACATGGACTCGATGGGGTCGTGTGGTAAGTTGAACAATAATATTATGTTAATATTTTATAAAAAAAAAAAATAAATCAAACTTATAACATTAGGGTGAATCTGGTCAAAATCAAATGTTGGGTCCATTTTCATCAAGTGATGCAGCTATTAAACAATTTAAAAGTAAATTCAAAGATAAAACTCGAAATGATTGTAAGTTAAAAAATCGTTTGTGCTTTTTATTTTCAAACATTTATTAAATATTATTATTTTATTAAAGGGGATAAACGTGATCAATTTAAAAAAGTTACTGGTAAATATGATTTAATTGATGTTGCTGATGATGGTGAAGAAGAAGATGAAAATGAACAAGGAAAATTATCTACAAATAAACCAACAACAATTGAAGATAAAGATGGTACAGTTTATGCAGCAAGTAAACTTCATTTAGCAACACAATCATTAATTCGACTTATATTTGATACGGATATGTTTAAAGACGCATTAAAAACATATGATATTGATGTTAAAAAAATGCCATTAGGAAAATTAAGTAAAAGTCAAATAGCAAAAGGTTTTGAAATCTTAGAAGAACTTGAAGCTGTTATGGAAAATAAAAAGAAAGGTTCATATGATGAAATATCATCAAAATTTTATACCGTTATTCCTCATGATTTTGGACGTGTACGACCTAAACCAATTAACAATCGTGAAGCTTTACAACAAAAATATGATATGCTTGCAGTATGTCATAAAATAAGATTTGAAAATCGAATTAAGAAAAAAAATTTTTTCTTTTTTTGATATTATTTAATAGGTTTTAGCTGATATTGAATTAGCTCAAAGTATTCAAAAGAATAAAGATGATGAAGCAACAACAAAGAAAAAAGCTGAACAAGCTAAACCACATCCATATGATGTTAATTATGATTTATTAAAATGTTCACTTGAACATGTTGATGCTAATAGCGATGAATTTAAAGTAATTATTAATTTTTTGTTTTTCTTTTTTATCAAACAAGTTTTCATTTATTAAGACTATTAAAAAATATACAGAAAATACACAAGGATATCGTAAATGTAAAATTATTGATGTATGGCGTGTTGGTCGTGATGGAGACGTAAGTTAAAAGAATAAAAAACAAAACAACAAGTAGTTGATTGTTTTTCTAGAGTGAACGTTTTGCAGCACATGATAAAATTGAAAATCGAAAATTACTTTGGCATGGTACCAATGTTGCTGTTGTTGTTGCTATACTCAAATCTGGTCTTCGTATCATGCCTCATTCAGGTGGTCGAGTTGGTAAAGGAATATATTTTGCTTCAGAAAATGGCAAAAGTAGTGGATATGGTTAGTTTAAAAATGTTTTCGATTTCAAATAAACAATAGATTTATATTTTAGTTGGTGTAACACAAGATCAAGGCAAACAAATTGGTATTATGTTTTTGGTAAGAATTGTTATTTTCTTGAAAAAAGAAAAAAAACTAATAATAAAATTCTGTTTTGAAAGAATGAAGTAGCTTTGGGTAAAGAACATTCAATTACAGTGGATGATTCATCATTAAAAAAACCACCAGCAAATTTTGATTCTGTTGTTGCTCGTGGTCAAACAGAACCAGGTTTGAATTTTATCTTTATGATTATTTGTGTGTTTTTTATTGACGATTTTTTTTTTGTTAAATAGATCCAAAAGATGATGCAGAATTAACAATTGATGGTAAAAAAATTACTGTACCAACTGGTAAACCAATTCGAACAACATATAGCTCATCAAGTTTTGCGCAATCAGAATATTTGATTTATCAAGAGAATCAATGTCGTATTCGTTATTTACTTAAAATGCAATTTTAAAAAGCAGAAAGATTTATTTTATAGACTCGTCATTTTTTGTTGTTTTGGTATTGTGTGTTTTTGCAGAGAATATTATTGCGAACAGAATATGTACACGCTTTTCGTGTGTTTCGTGATATACTATTTTTTCTTTTATTACTTATCTCGGTGTTTTCAAACCGGTTTTTTTTATTGTTTTACTTCACTCGTTTTAATTATCCGCCCAGTGACTTTCTATGTTTTGCGATATTTTTCTGAAAGCGAATATAATATTTTATCTATATATACCAATGGGTTTATTTTTCTTTTTTCTTTGAGAATAATAAATATGAAATCATGTCTAATGTTTGATTTTAGAGAAATACTGAAACATGTATTTGAATGGTTTTGTTTTGGTGTTATTCCATAAGGTTTTGAGTAGAGATCATCAGATTCAAAAAACTTCTGACCGGAACCCGATGGACTCTAGTTTTGAGTCATTAGGAAAGAGAACCAATGATCTGTATATGGATTTGAATATTTTTATCGATGTGTGTGTGTATTCTGATTTATTATTATCGAAAAAAATATCATTTTCTTTTTATGAATCAATAGCGAAAATCTATGACTACTTGTACCTTTTTTTAATAACTTGAATTAGATATTTATCCATAATAAGGGTTGCAAGGATGAAAATAAAAGTTTTACTCTATTTCTTGCTAAATATTGATTGTAGAAGAAGACTCATTTCGTTCGAAATTCGAATTCTAATTTGAGTTTTTAAAATTTTGTACTCTCAAGATATTATTTATAATTTTAAATAAATCATGTTTAAGTCAATGTACCAAACTTTTTACTTTTATCATATGAACAATAGTGACATAGTAAAAAACTCTTTTTTACAAGTATTCTTAAAAGGATAGAAAAATTTCTCTTTTACAAAAAAAAAGAAACATAAGCTAGAGAAAACTTATACATTCTTCCTTTAATGTCATTAGCTGATTGATTGTATCTTTATGTTGTCTTGAATAATTATAATTCGACTTTCGGATAAGTAAAAAGAAAAAACATAGATGATCTTTAAAAACTTTCTAATAATATCATGGAAGAGGCCTTTTTTAATATGACTGGTGATCGAAAAGTAATTAGACAAAATGTTCATTCGTTTTTCAGCTTTTTTCTAAGGAGCCTACAAAAGTTTGAAAACATTTAGTTAGAATCAGAATTTTATTTTCTTTCTAAATATTAGTTTAACATTTTTGTAAGACTTCTGATTTAAGAATTATGAACCGATCTTTTAGAAATCCATACATTAGGTTAGAATGAATTTTAACGCACTAAAAATTACTCAAAGTAGATGCGAAAATTATTTCAAATACAGCGAGCGAAAGAACAAACATTTCGCAATCAAATGGTATATTAATGGTTAGTTAACTCTAATGAGTGAACCTATTTAGCTGTTCCCTTTTGATTTCCAGGATTTTCTGCCTATAGATACCACATAGTGTTCTAATAAAAACTCTGAAAGAATTTGGATTCCTATTGATATTTGACTAAATCATCGAATTTTTAATGTATCTATTTCCTAGAAGTCCCAAATTTTCGAGAAACTCGTATTTTCGAATTTATTTTAATCTGAAACTTTGTGCATATAGAGAACTCAACTAGACTAGCTTCCATAAAAAGATTTAGAAGTTTTGAACCAAATCTCTTCGAGATATAAAACTTTCAATAAATACATATTGTATATACTATCCATGGAAAAGGATCTATATTTTGAAAATCTCATATCTAGAAAAGACTTTGCTTAAATCTTCTGAATCTTTTTATAAAACCTAGCCTAGTTGAGCTTTCGATATGCACAAAGTTTCAGATCAAAACAAATTCGAAAATACGAGTTTTCCGAAAAGCTTGAACTTCTAAGAAATAGACATATTAAAAATTCGATATCTTAGTCAAATTTAAATAGAAACTCAAATCATTTTAGTGCTTTTATTAGAGCACTATATAGTATCTATAGGCAAAAAAATCATCGAAATCGGAAAAGGGCAGTTGATGAGGGTTTCCTCGTAAATTATTTATTAACAGCCAGTGTTGTAGTAGGAATACCGTGTCGAGATAGGCAATCTTCTCGATTTCTGTGGAAAACAGACTTTCAAGATGATCAGGGCAGTTTCTGAATGATTGTTCTGAAACACTATGCAAAAAGATCGGCAATATAGCGTATGTAATAAAGAAGACTTTAGCTGTAAAACAAAAAGCGTAAATTTTCTTCATCCAAACTGAATACTTGAACCTCCAAAAGTCACTTCATAACTTGTAAAGGAAAACTCTACAAAAGTTTTCAACTCATATTCGAAAAGAACACGAAATTCTGCAGGCCTTTTTAAAAGAACTAAAAAATAAATGAACATTTTGTTTAATTGTTTTTCGATCACCTTTTATATGAATTACTATGCGATTTATGATTAAAACATTGATCAAAGACAAAAATAAATGTATTCTTATTTAATTAATATTCATTGAGTTTTAGGACGAAATTTTCGTGTCATAGAAATTAACTTGTTTATTTTTATTTCGAAAGAATTTTGAATTTTTTGTAAAACTAAATAATTCTATGTTAACTTTTTTTAGATGATAAAACAAATAACAAAACCTGATTATAGTAAAATGGGTGAAGGTGAATTAAGACTTTTACTCAATAAGCATCAACAAATGTTAAATAATACGTAAGTGGAAAAAAAAAAGAATTTTTTCAATAAATCATTCCAATTATTGTATGTTTTTTTGTTTCATTTAAGACGTTTAATAAATAGTCTACCAGATAAAGGTCAACGTTTACGTAATGCTATAAATGAAATCGAAAAATTTCTTGTAGTACCACCATCACCTATGGATTGTGATATTATAACAAATCAATTTAGTCAAATGACAATGTCATCAAATGATAATGAAGTTTCTCAAGAAAAAGTTCATCTTGAAAAATCGATAAAAAATCTTATTAAAACAACAACTGATAATAATTTTTCCGATGAACGTTTAAATGAAGTTAAACAACGTTTAAAAGCTCGACAAGCTGAACGTGATAGTAAAACAACAGTGACAAAAACAAAACTTATTTCATTAGATGAAGCAATTCAATTATATAATGACGAAAAGAAACAAGCAGAAGTAAAATTTTTTTCAAATATTTTCACCCTGAAACGAATATTTGTGTAAAAGAATCGCATATGCAGATCACTTTCTTGGCTTTTGTCGACCTATAGGATAAATTAACAGATAACAAAGAATCAATTAGACTGTTTGTATATTTAATATTTCTCTTGTAATCTTCAGTTGATCCAAAACACTTCTCTTATCAAAAGAATGTTCTTGAAATTCTCTATAAAGCTATATAGTTTATTCGACGGATACAGGTTTCTTCATTTTTTTTGAGTCAAACGTACCGAATATAATTTTTCTCTCTTTTTCAATTTTCTTGACTGCATTTTTCAAATCATTAGTTAGTACTATCTTTATTTGAATACCAGATAGTTCATAGTAGTAGCCACTTTGTTCCATCAGCTATAGTCTTATGAGTTTAAATCTGGTAGACAATGATGTTTCAGAATGAATGTAGAAAAACGATCGTCATAGCATTTTTGACTCAATTGAAACTAAGTGTCCAGCATGATTGCTGTGGCTCTCGCATGCTACAGTGGAAGATAGGTATGTGAGCCCAAGGAATTGTCGGCTCGAACTTGTATTGACCTAATTAACCTTTATAAAAAGCTTTATTTCTTTAATTAGTTGCTACACTTTACAGTGCTCAGCAGTGTATATTTAGATCAAACCACGGTTCTATAGTTCTGTTCAGAATCCTGAATCGGAATCCGAAACATGACTCCAACTCCGTCGGATTCGGAGTTGGAGTCGAAAAAGTTTGATTCCCCCGGAATTTAGTTCTGTTAGCAACATACCGCAGTGCTTAGTAGAAGGGCATAGTGTTAAGCAATATGAACTTAGATCATACTATAGTTATAGTGACCGAATTAGCACTATGCCATCTTGCTGAACAGTAGATCTTAATGAAAAGGCACACTACTCAACACTATGGAACGTAGTAGTTGACTAAAGAAATAAGGCTTTTTTCAGGGATTAATGATGTTAATTTAAACTCGGACAGAAATCTTTGAAATTCATCACAGTCACAGCCATAATCATGATTAGAAGTCAGTCACGGATAGTAGCAGACACTGACGCAGTTATATATCCTGTGTCTGTGTTATTTGCGTTCGACTTTCCACAACACAAATAATATCATCTTTTTAACTTGTTTCAATAATTTATTCATCTTTGTTTTCTGAATGAAAATAACTACACATAATTATGAGAACGTTTTTTTGAGCTAGAATTGAGTTGTTCACAAGTCACTTGATGAAATAAATTTTGTTATTTAATGCTAGAAAAACTTTGGCTTTTTTCTTTTCTTTGCACTGCAACATATTCTCATTGCTTTGAACAAAAACAATAATATATGTAGTCTACAATAACAGGTCACGAATTGTAACAAAACAAGAAAGAATAATTGTGACTCGAAAAATTTGGTCACGCATACAAGGTCTAGCACACACTATTAGTATGGACTTTGTAAATTAGTCATGTTTTTTTTTGCGAAGATTAGCCATAATTGATCCTTAATAGGCTTTTATATGCAACGTACGCGGTTCATTAGAAGAGAGTGATAGATTGATAGAATTCATATTATTAATTTATTTTTATTCCGAATTAAGTTGTTCACCGTGAAACTGGTTCACCCACATAAAAAAACATTTACTCTAATCTATTAATATTTTCACAGTAGTTTCTTTTTTTTGTCAATTATTTTGACATGTCCTTACTTTTTCTAAATATATCTAAAACAATTCTTAGATTCAATTATATATAGTTTTTTTTTTAAAAGAATATCACGAGCATTCTTATGATCAAAATGTATTTGAATCAACTGAAGAACCTAGAAAAATTATTAAAAATTTAAATAGTCTAATTTATTCTGCATCACTCATTTTTTTCAATTATTTAATTCATAATAGTGAATATTAAGTATATTTCAAAATACATATTGCAAAAGACGGATCTTAAGGACAAAAAGAAATATTAATGACTTTTTTCCCCACACAAAAATATAATATCAAACAATCAATAACGACCTTTGTTTTTATTTATAATGTACCAAGAATTATCTCGAACCATTTTAAACTATGAAAATACTTTATTGAAATATATTTTTTACAAAAGGTTAATTTTCATTAATATTTTTATAAGCAGAGAAAAACCCGACTAGATCTTTTATCTCAACTTTTGACTTTTTCTTGGCAAATTAGCCTTTGTTTTTTTCTTTATTAGGAACATTTAATCCAACAAACAACAGCAAGATTACTGGGTAATATGTCTCTGTCAAAAACCACATTTGGTCTTCCACCAACAACATGTAAAACTGATCTAACGTAAATATAAAAAGAAATTTTGTTTTTGTGTTTTTTTTTTTTTTATCAAAATTTAACCTTTCATTTTTAGATATCGTAAAACTACTACTGAAAATGATATTGATGATGATGATGATGGTCATATAGATGAACTTGGTCGAGATAAAGCAGAAATTGAATCAGATCATGAAAGTGATGAAGTTGATTATCCAGATGATGAAGTAGAAAACGATGATGATTAAAAAAAAAAAAAAATTTCATCATCCTTTTTTTTTTAAAATATTTTCTTAATAGACTCGATGTGTAATATTTTCTTATGAAATAAACCAAAACAAAGAAATAGAATTTGAATAAGTTTATGCAAAGGAAAAATTTATATCGAATAATGAAGCTAAAATATCTTCTTTGTTGGAAGAATAAACTAATACTGTGCATAGATGTATATCAACATGATAACAGCGTTTATAACCTTTTATTCCTGTTGTTTTCATTGTCTTTCTATCTATATACTTTATATATATCATGCGTTGGATGTATATACCTAAATAACAGAAAAGGAAAAATATAGTCATCGAGTATATATGTAATTATGGAGAACAATAAGTGTCGAAAATCAAAATTATTAATATCTTAATAATACCATAATATCTTTCAACAATTTACTGTTATTGTTATAGGACTACGTTCATGCAAATTAGTAGATTAGTATAAAAAATTTAGATTGATCACTTTTTATATAATTTAATAAATCTTATAAAGCGTGGGCTATTTCTCTCGTGCTTATTATTCAAAAAGTCATGAATTCTGTTTTGCTTTTTAGTTATATTATGTCAAATCTAAATATTTCAAATAATATTTTTACGTTTGGTGAGCTTCTTTTTTTTTTACCAACGTAAGTTGTCAAGAACAGATAAAAATGAGTGAAATATCACATAACTACCATTTAGTTTTTTTAATTAAAAACACAACTGATGTTTTTTATGCCCTACAAGGGAAAAAAAACAATTTTTCTTATTCTCTAGTGAACATGATTATTTCAGTAATTGCACTTCAAGAGTAAAAAACCCGAAGCAGAACATCATCATTAGATATTGACAGACAAACACCAGAGACTGCTTTATCTTTATTCATTCCTATTAGTAATGCTAGTTTTCTTCATGTGTTTTCTAAGGCTTTATTTTAACATCAAATAAATCATCATGGTACTGTTTTCTTATCTTCATTTTCACATCAATAAACATATTGCTCTCTTTTATATGATTTTTATCTACACATATTGAAAGGCTTCAGAATATTCATTTGTTTTCTTTTGTTTTTTTTTTTCTATATACAAAAAGTTAGTGACAAAAAAAAAAGTAAATATAAGACATAAACCGGGTTGTAGTTAGAATACTAGTACCTTAGAAAACAATAAAGACGCCAGCGTCAATCATCTCTATATATCAACCACACAAGCGAACGAATCGAACAAAATAAATGACTAGAAACGAAATATTGTTTAGTTCTTTGAACGAAGAGTATTTATTATTTCTTGTCTTTTTTCTATGATTCATTACTTGAACCTAAACTTGATGTTGCATTTTTTCTTTCAGGTCGTTGTTTTAAATGAATTTTTAAATGTCTTGTAATCATATCTCGTCGGCAAGCAGCATATGAACATTCAGGACATGCATAAGGTTTTTCACCTGTATGTGTACGTAAATGTGTTGATAAATGATCACTACGAGAAAAATGTGTATTACACATTGTACAACGATATGGACGAATACCAGAATGTAAACGTAAATGTCTATTTAACATATCACTTCTAAAAAACAAATAGATAAAATAATTTTTAAAAAATCTTAAATTTATAAAGTACCGAGAAAAACGTTTTGAACATATTTTACATGAATAATTACGTGCTTCACCAGGACGCATACTATTATTGTCGATTTGAGTAAAATCAAGTACACCTGATTTATCATCTTCACATGAGCTTTCAAGATGTGCACGATAATGAGTTAAATACCTAGAAAAAAAAAGTATAAAAAAAGCTGATTGTTTTTCTTTTAAATATTAGTTATATATATATCATTACATTTGCCTTGATTCAAATTCCTGTCGACAAATCTGACATGGTGGTACGGATGATGAATTTCTAATACTATTTGAATCGTGTACTTCCGTTTTAAATCTAAATTGATGGTATTTATTCATGTCAAAATAATACAATAAGTCTCTTTCTTTTTTTTTTTACCTTGGAGAAATCGGTGTAAAAAGACTTGGTTCATCGCATAAAAACTTTGTTAATGTTGATAATTGTGCCATACTACCTTGTGCACTAGCAACAACATGGTCTTGAGTTTTTGGAAAATGAAAATTCACTAAACCATATGGATTTGTTGGTGTATTAGACCATGGTGAAAGATATGGACCAGGATCACTTGATGCTGAATAAGGTGTAACTGGTAAAGGTACACCAGTTTGACTTGGCATTGTTGTTATAGTTGATGAAAATATTCTTTTTTCATTTGGATGTTCAAATGAATGTCGATAAGGTACAAATAAATTATTATTATCTTTATTTGTTAATTCATCACTTGTTTGTTGCTCAGAATATGAATGTCGAAATAGACGAGATCTTTCTTGATGTGGAATATTTGATTGAAGAGATAAAGATTTTCTTCGATCACTATCATCATTATCATTGTCATCATCAGGTCGATCAATACTAAATGTAATTTTACCTGCATCAAGTTTTTCAACAGATATTGGTGATGTTGGTAATGATGTCATTTGTTCATCATCAATATTTGATGCTGGTGTATCTTCCATATCAATAGTTGCACAACGTTGTAATAAACCACGTTTACTTTGTGAACGTGTAATATTTCCATCTTGTGATTGAATAAAATTTGTATCAGATGCACTTAATGTACAACATAGATTTGTATCAGATAAAGAATGTTGAAGTACAGCAGCTGATGACTCAAATGAATGAGCTTTTCCTGTTGTATTTGATTTATGAATTGTTGATGGTGTTGAAGAAGAATTTAAAAGTGTTTGATGATGATGATGATGATGATGATGATTGTCGGATTTTGATATATGTTCACAACTTTGAACAAGTTCTGATGATGGTTCTCTTTTTATATGACGATAATTTAAATCATCACTACGACATTTTGTAACTGGTTCTTTACGTGTTTGATGTTCATTAATTTGTTCTAAATAACGACGTTGTAAATAATCTTTTACTTTACCTTTAAATGCCTAAATAAATAGAAAAAAAGAATTGAAAATAAATAATCAAAAGAAAAACAAATTATATTTCTTTTTATTACTTGTGAACTTATATTTGATGATGATTGATCATTTAAATTTAAATTTGAAGTTTCTGATGTAATTATTGTTGAATTTTGAAAAATATCACTGTCAAATGAAGATTTTTCAGATATACTACGACTATGTGTAGAATAACGATTAGTTGAAGATGTTGGAACTCGTAAACTACTATTTGATTCAATTGATGTTTGTTGTTGTGGTGCTGTTGCTAATGATGAACGACTTGGTGTACGACTTGGATTTGATGATGCATTATTACATTCAACAATACGTGTATTAGGAAAAAATTGTCGAAGTATATCAATAATATGATCAAGTTCATTGGGATCAGTTTCAATAAGTGCGTAACTACGAGCAGGTGAATCATTTTCTGAACGATTACCAGTTATACTTGATGGAGTATTTGTTCGTACTCCAGTTCTAACATTATCAATGTCTGATGAAAATTCTTGTTGTTCATCAATAGATGAATTTTGTTTTGATGGATGCATTGAAGACAAAATAATAGAACTAGTTGAAGTTTAAATAATGTCGATACGACTGGAATGCACATAGTCGTATAGACAACGTGTCAAATTAAAAATAATTTTGTACATTCAAAAATAATTTTAATCTAAAAAAAGATTTAAATTTTATATTTATTGTCTTTTTTTTTTTAATAAAAATCTAAAGTTATTGAAAGATCACTCACGTATTCAATTAATCTGAATATTTGTATTGTCTATTGTTAGCTAATGTTCGCGTACCGATATAATTATCATTTTGTTTCTCTTGTTTTTTTTTCTGGTCTAAGAAATGCGCATGTATTTACACGCGAGCAGAAAAAAAAAGAATAAAAAAAAGATTTTCTTCACAAGCGCAAACATTGATAGCATCCTTTTTTTTATGCGGAAGATGAAAGTTGTGTATATATGTGTGCCAAGAAGCAAAAAGATGATGATGACGATGGCGAAGAAGAAAAGAGACGAAGAATCTAAGGAATAACAAATATTAGTCCAATGATGATAGTTATGGGTGGGCGAACGAACCAGTAAACATAATACTGAAGAATATATTTGCATTCGAAAACTCTATTTTTTAGTGAATTATTTTAATAAATGATAGAACATAGACTCTTAAAAATTACAAAATAAATACTTAATCTTTTATCTGTTCTATTTCATCGAGAAATGAATATGATTTAGACAACTTTCGGTCGGATCCAAATTATCTAAATTAACATTGTGATATATGCACATTTGTATGCTGATATGTATATTATGAGTGTTTAATGATACCCTTTAAGGGAGATGTCTAATATTTTTTATCATATGCTAAATCACGTCTCCGCCACGAGCAATGTCGAAAACATCTTTATTTTTCTTAATAAAATCAACAAAGCATAGATGAAAATTCAAGAGTAATATAAGAAAAAAATGAAGTCATTTTTTCTAATTATCGTATACTAACTCTAACATATATTAAAAGAAACATGTGCTTGATTGAAGAGAGCAGAAGGAAAGAGAAGAACTATGTAGACAGTGAAAATAATTAATAAAACTAGTTGAAGACATAAACGTCTAACTATAAAAAGTTCTCTGAAAGTTCTTTAGTACTCTATATTGAATGTCAACTTTTTCTTTCATTGTACTGATGACTTCTTATTTAATTATGTTTTAACCTATTTTGTAATATGTTCACTTCCTGTTAAGTCATATTTACTATAATTTTATTATAATAAAAAAAAATATTTGCTAAATATGTGACTCTAATTTTATTCACAAAATAAATATATTTGGATTGGATATTTTTAATCAATCTTTACATTTTATTTTTTTCTAATATTTTTAGTATCATCTAACTGATGACAATGTCTTTCATCCACCCACATTCTGTCTCGAACTAAGTCGATTTTGGTTTTTTTTCCTATTTTTGTCTCAAGAGACTCTTATCATCAATAGTCAAAGATGACGTCAATTACAACAGATATAACTATCTATTTATCATCGAATGAGAAAAAAATAAAAAAATAAAAAAACTTGATCCAATGCATATATATATGTATATATATATATACATGCGGCATTACCTATGTTAATATCACGTGGTTAACAAAAGTTGACATTATCAATATTAAGAAAATGAAAATGCCTGTCCAATATGTGTCATGTAGGAATAGCATTAGAATAAAATAAAATAAAATAAAAAATAAATATATGACGCATGCATTTTATTGTCAATATATATATAAAAATACGGTTTACAGATGAAAAATGTTGACGAAGTTAATATTTATTAATTGTTTGGTAGTCATCTGTAACAAGTAGTAAACGAAGAAAAAGATTTTATATCGAAAAATAAAATGATATAGAAAAAATATCTGTATTATCAACGTTACACGACTGTTATATTTTGTAATGATATGAATCAATTGAATGCTGTCAAATTGGACAGAAATGAAAAAAAAAAAAGAAAGAGAAGAAAGAGTTGGAGTGGATTATATATCGAAAGGAGCAAATATTAAATATCGTGATAATGTGGAGGCGGTGGCATAAATAAAAAAAAGAACTTAATAAATATATCATATTCTTATCTCAACAGAGTAGCTACCTTTTTACACATTATCAGTTATTTTGATTATAAAAAAATTAATCATATTCAGTTCTATCCTAAAAAAAATAGAACTATCTAAATGTTCTTCTATATTAATTTTATAACGAGGACAAAAGAAAAATAACTGTCACTGATAATCAACAAATAATCTATTTGTTTTGTTATTTTTTGTTCCTTATTTATCAATAAATTAGTTATCCATTAATATAATTTTGATAAAAAGATTTCCTACAAAAAAAAAATATTGTTGTTTTTATGCTCGTACGTACTTTTTAATATTCCATCTGTAATTCTAAACAAAAAGAAATGCCTTACATATATAAAAGATTTTTAAGTTTAAAATAGGAAGTAATTAAAAAAAATCTTTCTTTTTTTTTCTTTGTTTTGTATCCATTGAAATTGAGGAAAAGAACACATGCGCATGAATGAGCTTCTATAGCAAGGGTGAAATGACACGACGGATAATCAAGGCTGGGAAAAAGAACAGCTATAGTACTTTAGGAGCGGTTCGTCTTAGTGCTTCGATTACTATTCTTTCTTTCGTTGTTGATGCCGTTTATCTAGTAGAAGTAGCAGCAATATTGTCGATGAGGAGAGCAACGACGTCGAGCTTGCAAGTGAGGAAAAAGGTGAAAAAAGAGTAGGGTAACAACATGAGTGAAATAAAAACAGAATATACCTCCTATTTGTTCTTCCGTTCTTCTGTGCGTCTCTTCTTTTCTTGACAAGAAGAGAAGAAACCTACGTGCTTCCCCTTTTTTTCTTTCTTTTTTTCTTTCTTTATTTCTTTCTTTCTTGCTATTATTGACACGCCCTCGAGCAAAACAGATGCGTAGGACATAAAGACTTGTTTTGGCAGGAAAATAATAGGAAGAATTTCCTTTGACAATATGTGCCTCGAATAAAATTATGCTGGAATAGACTTGTCTTTGTTATAATAATATATTCTATATATTTGATCTAGTTTTCTTAAAAGTATGAAATGATAAGAAAAGAAATGTCTGATGATTAAAAAAACAAAAAGAAAGTATTATACTCTATTATTAATATATTTCATTGGCTTTGTAACATATGGCAAATGTGTATACTTCCTAGATCGATTATATATTTAATAAAAAAAACAACAAGAAAGTATATGTAAAAGAGCATATTTTATGATGCAATTTAGAGTATATATCACGGATTGTAGTGTTTGTCAGGATCCTCGTAAAAGAGGCATTCAAACTATGACGTTCCTCCGTATAGTTTGTCAGGACGCTGCAATGCATGACATGGATGTTTAAAGAAAAAACTCATTTAGTAAAATACAGAAAATTTTCACATATGACAAAAATTTCTAGAATAAAAATAATTTTCTGTATATTTACATTTTATGATAAATTGACTGACATGATCTTCTGTCTATTCTGTTCTATTTTCAAGACATGGATCAAAGATATAAGAGAGCTGCAGTTGACATTTATTAATTATCAAGTAAACAACATGTGATAAAATATTCAAAAAAAAAAAAAAAAACTTCAATCTATTTTACTAAAACATTTAGAATAGTTTCAGTAAATAATGGTACATGATCAGAAAGCATTGTTATTTTGATTGATGAATATAATTTTTTCATATTTAATCCATGTAAAAAATATTTTATTTTCCAATGAGATTGTCGATCTAATAGTATATAATCAATTTTATCCTTTAATATTTCACCACATTCAGACCATGTTGGACGAGAATTATCTGATGAATTATCATCAAAGAAATATCTATATAGGTTTGTTAATGTTGTTGATGTCTTATTAGCATTAAAATCACCTAGAAGTATTGTTGGATGATATTGTCCGTTAGTTAACCAATGAATAAATGTATTCGCTTGTTGTAAACGAATTGTATTATCAGTTGGATGATGATCAAAATGAATAGAACATGCTCTAAATGTAACATTGACATTTCGAGGTTGAATTGTTAAACATGGTGAATTTCGTGGTTCAAGACCAAGTGGTAAAGAAATAATTTCTACTGCTATTAAATGAAATCTATGATGATTTAAAAGTATAGCTGTACCATATTGCATATGAACTCCATGATCAAATAAAGTTGGACTAAATATAAATGTCATATCAAGTTGTTGTGCAAGATAAGTAGCTGTTGATATTTCATTATTAATTAGTATTGATGATGGTGATTCTTGAACTTCTTGTATAGCAATAATGTCAGGATCATATTGACGAATATGTTTAGCTATTGTAGCTAAATTAGCTCGAACAAAATCAGCACGATTATTGAAAGATTTTATATTTATTGAATGACGAAAATCTTCATTTGCTTTTAATTTTTCTTCATAACAATTATAACGACCACGCATTACATTATAGGTCATCAGTCGAATTGGAATTTCTATTATTGTGGATTCGATTATTGTGATTATTAAAATGAATTTTATAATGAAAAATATCATTATGATAAGCCAATATCGATTAGCCGTCTATGCTCTAAAAAAAAAAAGAGAAATGAATGTGCTCAACTCTTTAGTACATAATGTAGCTGAACTCTTTCGTTCTTTCATTTCAAAAAAGAAAAAAGAATAATAGAAGAGTGCCTATAATGATTGTCATTTCATTTAAATGAGAAAGAAACTAGAGTTTGTATAATTTGAACACATACAACAGTCATTTGATAACTTAAAAGGTCTCTCTGTATTAAAGTCAATTTAAATTTATGTAGACAATAAATGTTATTCACAACAAATTAGTTCGGCTTTTTGAAAGAAAGTTAGATATTATATAATAGATTCTATAATAAATATTGATTTTATACAATGATGATATTTATATTTCATTTGATAGTCTAAGAAAATAAGGATATATAATTAAATTTTATTTTTATAACGAGACAAAGAAGTGGTTTAGTAAATTTTAAGATGATGAGTGTTTTTTGGTACTAGATATGACATGTTTGGACGTTATGATGAATTAGATTAAATTAAATTACTATCAAGAGACTCGCTTTCGAATGTCATTAAGAAACAATGGATTTTACAATAGAAAAATTATTAGGGTTTTGTGATTTGATTGGAATACACACGAAAAAAAAATATAGTCAATCAACGATGAAGAACATTATTTTTTTCTGTTCGTTTTATTATATTGATGATGTAAACGGAAGACAATCGAGTTAAGTCACATCGATTGATAGAAATTGTAGTTGATGTGAGTGGAAATTAATTATAACTTGACGCTTAAAAATATTATATAACGCGAATAATATTAGAAAAAAATAAATTGATCGCAGATATTGTCCTACTTTAAAGTGTTATTAATGTAATTGTACTTTGAAGAGCAGCCGATCTGTAAACAATCCACTTAAGTGAACATTAATTTTCTATGAAAGCAATTTTTTTAAGGAGTATACTACTGTTTTGTTTAATTTAAACATGTGATATACGATATGATTTTTTTCGATAGATATATTATTCAAACGTGGTTTTCGAATTAACTAGCAAAATAATTTGAATACTCTCTAAAGAAATAAATTACTAATTTTATGTATAATATCATCAAAATGAAAAATGTATATGAAGAATGTACCATAAATTCTGGATTTCAACAAAAATTAGTTTATATTTAAGCAAAGAATGATCCCGCTATCCAATTATATCTATTTGAGCTTCAAGTATTTAGGACAATGTTTTAAATGGGATATTATCCGATGACATTATCTCTTTCAATAATACTAATATAAACAAAAGAAACGCGGTAATTAAAATCTCGAAATCGATCAGTATCTTTTTTAAGAAGTTTTAATGAATCATGAATTCATCGTCTGTAATGTAACGTAAAATTATACAAAGCGATGGACAGTATTTAAGGTATGAATGTGGCTGTATGACTATTCTCTATACCCATACCCTAACTATTACGTTTCTTCTATTTATATGACTATTATTAAATGAGATAATGTCATCGGATAATATCCTATTTAAAACATCGTCCTAAATACTCGAAGCTCAAATAGATATAATTGGGTAACGGGATCATTCTTTGCTTAAATATAAACTAATTCTCGTTGATACTCAGAACTTATGGAGCGCTTCTTATTGAATAAAAGCAATTGAGACTAAGAATTTGATCATACAAGAAAAATTGAAAAAATTAGTAATATGTCTTATGTTTTAAGAAATTGAGAATGTTGTTTTTCTGTGCACTTTAAAAGCTATATAAATTGTTATTTGGAATTGTATTAACAGTTTCTTTCAGAAAAAAAAGCCTCTTGTTTTATCGCATTGAATTATATATTATTATTTTTATGCTAGACATGAAAAATTCTCCTATAAAAAAAAAACAGAAATTTGTCACAATATTTTTCGTCAAACAAGTCTTTTTCAAATAATTTCAATATCGTTGTGTACAATCGAGGTCTGTTAAATCTTTCTCGATCATTTTGTTTTTGTTTTTATTATTATATCTTCTGTATTTATTAACATATTATATAGACCGAGAAAGTATAAAATTAGGCAGCAGTTTGAGTTACATTTTACTCTGAATAACAAAATCAAGTTTGCAGTATAAAAAGTGTATTAGAAGGAAAAGTGACATTTTTTTCTATCTGCAATATATCATCCACACCTAGATTATAATGAAAACTTTATAGAAAAATCATTAGAGTAAGTTGTAACAGTCATTAATTTCATAAATATAACTATATTTATAATAGGCATTTTTAATTTCTTCTTTTAATAATAAATGGAATGTTTGTAATAGTAGTAAAGATAGATTCATTATAATTAATAAACGATTAATTTTGAATGACTTCTTTAAACGAATCCCAAATTGAATTATTCAGTGATGATAAATATTTTGTGGCTGCTGTTGGTATACAAAAAAATTTTTTATAGCCGAATAACATTTATCAGCTCGTAATACTTGCATTAAATCGCCGTGAATTATGAACTTCATCTGTACCACAAATGAAATACATATTGTGGATACGTAATCGACTGATTGCTGATGCTAATATATTAATAATTTATTCAGTTATTATTTCTTGTCTAACATTTTTGATACGACGACTGTTACGATCTGGAAAAGTCAATGTCACACACGCAATTTAATGTGATCCATTAATAGCTTCAATAAAATCATATCGCTCAGCATGTGTCGAAGGTTCTATAAATAGAGTTAATGATTGCTGTTTAGAAGCAATGAGAGTTTGTCGCAGAAACATGAAAGAATATTATGTTAGTTTGTCAAAGAATTTTAATCAACCATTAGTAATTCACCGTAATGATCTCCGAAATTAATCAATTGTATTCTAAAAATTATTATCATTTGGAAACAGATAAAAGATACATTAATAGAATAATGAAATTATAGTTATCAGATTATAAACGTGCCATCATGCAATGTTATTTCCTGACTTTTTTTTTTGCAATGTGTTGGAACACTCTTTCCCATACTATATCATCTAATAGTGCATAGTGGTACTTTTCGTCTTAGTTCAGATCCGATATGTGCCTGGACTATTCTACAATTAACTTGTACATGTTTATGATTTATTAATTCGACAAATTCTAGATATAATATTTAACTTCTTGCCGCATTGTTTTACTTGCTAGACGATCTTTTAATTTTTGATTTAATGAATTGATAGTACCATCTTATTGAACATATTAAATGATGATAAGCTTACGATGACCTGTGACCTTGAAGCGTTCAGCTAATGATTGAAACCCATAACTACGAATTCCAGAACGATATTCTTGAAGCACGTTCTGGTTGAACTGACATGTATATTTATCATATTTACGAGTCGTAATAAATCTACATAGTGGAAATTAAAAACAAAATTAAGAATAAACAACAGTTTCAAGATATTACGCATTAAGTCAATATTGTCACGTTCACGTCGACATGGCACATACACAATATGATTTGATTTTCAACCTTTTCAAAAGTAAAAAAATTTTAATCTTAGCCAACCTATTTATTCGACGTGTTTATAGGTATGGTGCTATTCGAATATAAGCTGTAAATTATTAGAACTAATTGAGTCTACAATGTTGATATAAAATAACTAGCAGGCAAGACTTATGCAATTCATGCTATACATGGTAGATAAAAAGAAATGTCACTTTCTTTTCTAATACACTTTTTATGCTCTCAGCTAGATTTATAGTTCAAAAGGAATATGCTATAAGCTGCGTCATATTACATGCATTCTTACTATATATAGAAGGTTAAATAAACACAGGAAGTATGGTAAAAACAAAAGAGCGAAAAAAAAATGAATAGAAAAGTAGCAAGGAAAATTCACTCGATCCATATTGTATATATTTCCATTTGATTTGAAAAAAAAATGACTAAAAATAGCAATATACATTTTAAATTTCGTATATATGGGCGTAATCAACTACTCTGATACCCGAATACTTATTTATGTGTGTAGTTTTCAACTAGATATTAGAAAAATAAGATTTTTTTTACTAGATATAGTACATATATAATGTTAATGATGTGTTATTGTTTGAGCTGTATGTCTCACTAGGAACGAGAGTTGTCAAGTGTTTCCTTATAATCATTTCGTTCAATGTACTTCACATCTAATTTGTTAACATACACCAATTCTTATTCGGTAATGTTATTACTCTAAAAAAAAAAAAGAAATTCCATAGAAGTCAATTGACAATTGAAGACAAAAACTTCAATCGTGATATTAATAGTGTAAGAGTAGCTATCAAAAATATTACTCAACATCTCAAAATTTATGCTATTTTCGGTGTTGTCCAACAGAGGAGTTATTGATGATTTTCATAAGAGTACTAAGATCGTATACGTTATTTCCGCTTTATGTAATCTGAACTTGAGTAAACACCCTATTCATAAGTACACAGCATGATAAGTTAGTTATATTTCTTGATTAACTATTTGATTATAAAACTTTGTTGTCAATACTTCAGGTTGTTATAATTTTCGTAGTAAGACTTGGTATATGTTAATAAATTAGATGTGAAATACATTGAACGAAATGATAATAAGGAAACACTTGACAATTCTCGTTCCTAGTGAGACATACAGCTCAAACAATCTCAGATGCCATAAAACGACCTGGAACGGCTATAAAACGGCGACTAACGATGTAAAATGTCGATAAACGGCGCCGTAATCCGTCATATCAGATTACGGAAACAAAACTGGGAAAAAACGACAACTGTTTTCTATCGACAGAAACGGCTCGTAATACGGCATGACGGATTACGGCGAAATAAGACCAAAATTAATGCAGTAATTCAGCGTTTTATAGCCGTTTCTGACGGTCAGAATGATCCTCATGGGATAATACATCATTAATATTATATATGCACTAAAC